TTAATGGTTTGAAAATAAGGGAGTTAAAGGGGAATGCGAGTTGTGCAAGCTCGCGAGATCCTGATTGCGGATATTTAATGCATGCTAACGGAAACGTGAACGGTAGGCAAGCGGAACGCGTGTTAGGGCGGTCAGTACAACAGGTACGATAATGCGTGCTCCCGGTTTGTTTATACCGGGGGGGATTAAAATAATGCATCGATGCACCGGTCCGCCGCATTGAGCCAGATGAAGAGATTTAGCCGCTGCGCAAATTACATACGCATTAACGGCGGAAACGCAGCGTACGTGGCCGAGATGCGTGTGGGTGAGCCACGATAAACGCGCGTGTGTGCGTGCTCTTTGTGCGAAGGAGCGGGTAATAGGATTCGATTTCAACCGTGCGAGTGTGTTTCAAGGTTTCCAGCCTTGCTTCCCAACTGTCGCGAAGAATTGATGGATAGGTTGATTTAATGCAACTGTGAAGTGAAAAGTTGGTGAAATTTTGTAACAGCGGTGGGAAGAAAAATTGCGATTTTTGCGCTAACTTTTGCCTCGGATCGAGTACGATTTGAGGTTAGGTTAGGGGCTTGTTCGCGCGGATTATTATAAAAGGGAAATAATTTTTAGAAAGGGATGGGAAGATGTCTGTTGAACTTGGATTTGTCAATTAAGGAATATTATAAGTCTTTTGAATGTAAGAGTTCGGGTAGACGTAATTATAATTACTTGAGTGTTTAGACGGAGTTGAAGGCGAATCTTATTGATTTCGAATTTTAGGTTATTGTATGTAATTACAAATACTGCATTATCTAATGTTAATGTAATATAGTGGAAAAATCTATTTGGAGAATCAAAGCAAATGCAAAAGTATTAATCAAAACTTATTTGTTAAATTTGAATTTAATAGAAACATAACCTACAATTGCATTATTACTAGATCTAAATTTTCTTCACGAAAAATTAATTTTAAATTCATCATTAGAAGATTTAATATTGAATAAGCCAATAATCGAAGTAAATACGTGTTTCGCGACTATCAATATTAATTTACCTCGAATCGGTTGTATTGTAACATACATTCTAACGTAATCTAGTCTAACCTAACCTAACTTAATCAATTTAAGTTTGCATTCGACAAAGAGAAATAGATATATAGGAAGATATATATGGTAAAAATAGAGTTATATCCGATACCTTCTATTTCTGAAATCCATATAATTCATATTGGTAACATACCATTATCAAACCTAACCTAACCTAACTTAATCAGTTTAAATTTAAAATGCGAATATTAGATAAACATATAGTAAGACATATAGTATATTGAATAATAAAAATAGAGTTATATTCGATACCTTCTATTTGTGAAGCGCATATAATTGCACCATTACGATCCAAAATTTTCCACTTTCAAGAGAAATCATTTTAAAATCATCCGAAGATTGAAACGTCGAACGAGGCGGTAATCGAGATAAACGATAAATGCGTGTGTTTCGCGACTATTAATATTAATTTATCCCGAATCGATTATATTGTATATTAGATCTAATTTAACCTAACCTAACTTAATCAATTTAAGTTTGCATTAGATAGACATATAATAAGAAAATATATTGAATAATAAAAATAGAGTTATATTCATTTGTATGAAGTCCATATTATAATTGCACTATTACGATCCAAAATTTTCCATTTTCACGAGAAATCATTTCAAAATCATCCGCATTGAAGATTGAAACGTCGAACGAGGTAAACGACAAACGCGACTATTAATATTAATTTATCTCGAATCGGTTGTACTGTACGCACATTGCAACGTAATCTAATCTAACCTAACCTAACTTAATCAGTTTAAATTTGCATTAGACAAAGAGAAACAGATATATAGAAAGATGTATATGGTAAAAGTAGAATTATATCAGATACTTTCCATTTATACGAAGTCCATATTATAATTGCATATTACGATCCGAAATTTTCCACTTTCACGAGAAATCATTTCAAAATCATCCGCATTGAAGATTGAAACGTCGAACGAGGTAAACAACAAATGCGACTATTAATATTAATTTATCTCGAATCGGTTGTATTGTAACACACGTTATAATCTAATCTAACCTAACCTAACCTAACTTAATCAGTTTAAGTTTGAATTAGATAGACATATAATAAGATATATAGTATTGAATAATAAAAATAGAGTTATATTCGATAATTTCCATTTGTACGAAGTCCATATTATAATTGCACCATTACGATCCGAAATTTTCCACTTTCACGAGAAATCATTTCAAAATCATCCGCATTGAAGATTGAAACGTCGAACGAGGTAAACGACAAACGCGACTATTAATATTAATTTATCTCGAATCGGTTGTATTGTAACACACGTTATAACGTAATCTAATCTAACCTAACCTAACTTAATCAGTTTAAGTTTGAATTAGATAGACATATAATAAGATATATAGTATTGAATAATAAAAATAGAGTTATATCAGATACTTTCCATTTGTACAAAGCTTATATTATAATTGCACCATTACGATCCGAAATTTTCCACGAGAAATCATTTTAAAATCATCCGCGTCGAAGATTGAAACGTCGAACGAGGCGGTAATCGAGGTAAACGATAAATGCGTGTGTTTCGCGACTATTAATATTAATTTATCCCAATTCGGTTGTAACGTACACAGGATGCGACAAATTATTCCGCGGGACCGTATCGTTCTGCGGCGAAATATTCCGGCGTGCAGAGATTCCATTCATCCTCGAAACACGCGTAATTTTCCGGCGGGGAGGGCCCCTTCTAAATGAAAACGCATCGCTAAATCTCTCCCGGCTTTCAATTTCGCGTTGTAACGCTGTGGCGGAAAGATGGCGCGCAGGTCGATTTTCGTCCAGGCCTGAATCAAATTTTCTAATTATTTTTGACAATTGTGGTTAATTCGAAACGTGATAGTTGATGAGTTATTTCTCTTGCGTGTGTTTTATATATATATAGAATATTTAGAAGGTGTATCGAAATAGCGTTTTATTTTTAGCATTGCGCGAAATAAAACTGAAAATTGATTTTTGCCTCGGTTTCGAGTTACGATCTTGTAATTATTTTTGGTTATTTGGTTACACGATTGTGATTAATTTGAAACTCGATAACTGGTGGTTCTTTTGTTGTGTTATAGAATATTTAGAGTGCGTATACGTTTTTTTTTTCCTGTGTATTCTGTGCGAAACAAAATTGAAAATTGAATAAATTCTTTTTTTCTTTTTCTTTTTCTTTTTCTTTTACCATTATATTTTACACGTGTACTTTTTCATCCGACTATTCTTGCGCCGTTTCACAACAAGTGAGTTTTGTGAAAAAGAATTTTTGTCATTATTAATATTAATTCTTTTTTATAGAAAGGAAGAGTTGCAAATTTCAAAATTCATTCCCCGCGAATTAGGATAATTAAAATTAATGTAAACCCACTTGAAAAATTTCGTATCTCATATCCAACGCCCATACACTTTATCTCCTCTTCACGGAATACTAACTTCACAACCTCGTTTTCTCTAGGAAATTTTGTACAAGCTGCCTTTCAGAAAAATTTTCCCTCCACTTAAAACTCTACCGTAAAACTACGTATTTAACAAAAGAATTTGCTTAAAAGAAACTAAAAGTAAAAACAGCCGTTTTTTGCTAACGAAAGAATACTTAAATTATGCGTGTAAACGTTAGAAAGCTAAATTTTCTAGAAACTACGGTTTCTAGAATAGCCATAAGATATTAAGTAAATCACACACAAAGATTATTCAACTTGCAAAGTTTACGTATTCCATAAGAACTTATCCAACTTTTTTTCTCCTTCTTCTTTCTCAAAAAATAATAATCTTAATTTCCTCCTCTACAATTTCTCTCACACGTGTGAACAATAAACTTAACCTTAATTACTTTTTATTTCGTTCACTCGTATTTAAATATAATTTTTCTCATCCGACATGCATCCACTCGTCATCGATATTATACAATTCGAAGCCAAACACACATTGGGGAAACAAAATTTTGATTACAGAAGGAATCGAAACTGAAATCTCTGTGCGAAATGCGCGTGACCAAATGCAGAAACAAAAGGGAAACAGAGAGAGAATGCGTAAAGTGCATCAGGCATACGGATAATAATGGATAATGATGGTCGAACGGCCGATCATCCGGCCGAAATCGATGATTCGATTGTTTCTCTTATTGCTCGGCCCGGCCATCCGCGTCCTGGTTGCCAAGTGGCTCGATCATGCGGATCAAATTCGTTTTTGCTGCTTGGATTTTGGTCGAGTCTCTACTAGCTAAATATATCCTATCCTCTTTCGATTCGAATAGTATTTTTCATCAGATCCTTTCGTCGCTGATTCGATCGAGGAATTTCGAGGAATCGATGAAACGAAGAAATTGATAGAGAAGAACGATGGAGAAAAATTTACATTACAAATTCAAAACATAAAAATTCTGACGAAGAGAAAAATATATTTTCGTTATATTTACGCGTCGTTCGTTCGATTATAATTTGCAAGGAATGCGATTAATTTAACAGAAATATTGGTCTACTTTTTGGTCTAATCGATCTGAATGATGAATAATGAATAATAGTCTGGCAAATTTGGGGTTTGATCGATTTGTTGTCTAATAGATACTTTATTTCGAATTTGACCGTTTAATTCTTCATTATCGGGGAATTCATCGACCGATTTTGAGCACCGATTGAAACCAAGTTGAACGATTTTAACCGTGAGAAATATGAATAATTAAATTTCGCTAATTGCTCGTTCCCTATTTAATTCGTCACCAGTTGTTAATTTGTTATTTTTGGAGTTGGACTATATCTCGATTAATTATTATTATAATTGCCATTCCGTTTCCTATTTATCCGTTTAACGTCGCGGATTCGTAAACAAATCCATTGCTAAATCTTTTAATTAATAACCGTAATATAACGTTCTCGTAACAACCGTTTATTCGAGTAGAAATGGAAATTTTCATTTACCTGATTTTTCCCTTTGAGAACGAGCACGTTTGTGACACGGCCGAAGGGGATGCCAAGATGGATGATTTCACCCTCCGATACTTCGTTGGGGATGTTTCTGATGTGGATAACCCTCGAAAGTTTGCCGTTGTGGCTCTTGTCGAGTTTAACCTGTGCACAAAGTTTCTATGGTTAGTCGTAAGTTACACGTTGAAAGTTAATCACTTTTATTCAAAATATCGCAAAATATCTCATTAAAGATCTCGAATTATAATTCATAACTCCATGCTACAAAATATTCAAATAAAGGAATAATAATTATTGCGACAGTTATTGGAAATTCCAAATGAAAAAAGAAAATAAAATTTATTTCCAAGAGTAACTCGAAATCAAACATTTTTGAATATCATTAGTACTATCTCTCTCACGACTCAATAAACAATACTTGGAGGCGAAACGCGAGGTAGAGCACAACATTAGCACCGATCCAAGATAAGCTAACCGAATATATACTTGTCATTACTTATTTCACAAGAGAAACCAATCACACGTAAATCTCATAAAATATTCCCCCCTCGTTCATTACCTTCACCCTAGATAAGGTGTTCATCGTCAAGAGTGAGAACAATAGTAATGCTCGCTTCAAATACACATACATATATATATACACAAATCTCGCTCGCAAATACGATTCCATTCATATTCGTCCCGACAACAGGCGAGGGTTAATTCCTCCCTCGAACGAAACGAGATAAAAAGAGAAGCATTTCCTGGACAAGAAACATTTCCAAGCCATCCCCGATTGCACTCGTTTCCTCGAAGGGAGGGGAGGGGCCTCTTAAAATTCCATCATCCCTCGTTAAAATCGGGAGAAGAGGGGGGGAAGAGGGCCGCACGCGTGAGGATCACACTTCCGATGCACAAGTAACGAAACTTTTCGCCCGGTTTCGTATAAATTTAAATCGAAATCCCGCCGCAGGCGGAATTTTCAATCACGGCTCAATCTACTCGAGACTCTCCGCTCGCTGCACCATCCCCCCCTCCCTCTCGTCTTCCTCCTCCTCCTCTTCTTCCTCTGTTCCCTTCAAGCCTGGTTCCCTTTTATTCGAGGCGAGGTTTCGGGGCTCGGGGTTTAACCGATCGGAAAACGCGCTTCTTACCGAGTTACGGAGGAGGGGGGAGGAGGGAGAGACACTTCTACACGCTCTGTAAACCCTTCTTCCAGATATTTTCGTTCGACACGCGTTGGTTAAGGTACCGCATGCTCGTCTTCTTATTTCCTTCTTGTTTGGAAAGTAGTTACAGTGAGAAGGGGGAGGGGGACGAAAATTGTTTCTCGAATTTGGCGCGTGAGGCGAGGTTTACGAAATTTATGGGAGGGGAGAAATAAATATCGGGGGTCGAAGTTCATGTTTTCTCGGGATTTATCAATTTTTTTTAACACGTATGGTCTCTGAAATAACCTGTGATAAATTTGCAAAAGATGGAAGAGGACGAGATTTGAGAGCATTATAAGAGAAGAACTGAAGAAAGAAGAAAAGATACGATAAATACGTGAAATCGATTTAAACGGTTTAAACAGGTGGCATCAATTTTTGTAACACGTATGATCTCTGAAATAACCTGTGATAAATTTGCAAAAGAAGGGGACGAGATTTGAGAGCATTATAAGAGAAGAACTGAAGAAAGAAAAAAAGATACGATAAATACGTGAAATCTAATCGATTTAAACAGGTGGCATCAATTTTTGTAACACGTATGATCTCTGAAATAACCTGTGATAAATTTGCAAAAGATGGAAGGGGACGAGATTTGAGAGCATTATAAGACAAGAACTGAAGAAAGAAAAAAATATACGATAAATACGTGAAATCTAATCGATTTAAACAGGTGGCATCAATTTTTGTAACACGTATGATCTCTGAAATAACTTGTGATAAATTTGCAAAAGATGGAAGGGGACGAGATTTGAGAGCATTATAAGAGAAGAACTAAAGAAAGAAAAAAAAAAAAAAGATAAATACATGAAATCTAATCGATTTAAACAGGTGGCATCAATTTTTGTAACACGTATGATCTCTGAAATAACCTGTGATAAATTTGCAAAAGATGGAAAGGGACGAGATTTGAATCGAGAGAGCATTATAAGACAAGAACTGAAGAAAAAAAGAAAAAAAAAAAAAGATACGATAAATACGTGAAATCTAATCGATTTAAACGGTTTAAACAGGTGGCATCAATATTCCAACTACTCTCGAAGACGAGAGTATCGAATGCAAATAAAACGATAACGCGATAGGTACACGAATTATCGTGGTTACACAAGGAATAATGGTGGTACGTATTAAATCTTGCTCTTCGAGAGATTTCTTGCGACGAGATTGCGCGACTTGAATGCGAAGTAATCGGCCGTGCTCGTATAATAGCGTATTATATATTCGTATATTATTCGATAATCGAGCGCGCGCGCGCGCGCACGATGCATAATGAAGGCATCGTTTCGCATTATTCCGTTGCGCTAGATATAAGCAAGATTCGAATCGAACACTTTAATTGCCGCATAAATACGCCCCACTTTTTCCGCTTGTTTATATACGTATTATATATATTTTTTTTTTTTTTTTTTTTAATTGCATTCCATCATCGAGCGGAATAAATAAAACGGTATCAATGTTGATACATTCGATCCAATTCGTAGATAAATGATGAACAAAAAAATTAATTATACATGAATAAAAAAATTAATTATACATAAGTTGATAGTGATATTGATAGTAAGTTAGCAGCATGGTATAATGATAGTCCTTGTTTTATACATTGTTTCGATACATTGAATATAAATTTTTATAAAAGTAAAAAAAATGTTTAATTTGTATGATGTATGTCTCGTTGTCGAACCTGTTAAGAAGAAATTATTGGGATATTTTTTATCGTGAAATAGACGAATATTTTTTGCTGATAAACGATCGTTCTTTTTTTTTTTTTTTTTTTTTTTTTTTTTTTTTTTTTT